GTTTGTACTGCCCTGTGCCGGTCTGTACTGCTCTGCGCCGGTTTGTACTGCCCTGTGCCGGTCTGTACTGCTCTGCGCTGGTTTGTACTGCTCTGTGCCGGTCTGTGCCGGTTTGTACTGCTCTGCGTCGGTTTGTACTGCTCTGTGCCGGTCTGTGCCGGTTTGTACTGCTCTGCGCCGGTTTGTACTGCTCTGTGCCGGTCTGTGCCGGTTTGAACTGCTCTGTGCCGGTCTGTACCGGTTTGTACTGCTCTGCGCCAGTCTTGTGGTACTCACAGCCAGGGATGTTGGAGGTCATGTCCTGGCACTTCCCTTTCCTGCGGGACTGCTTCCTCTCCTCGTCGCGGATCTTGCGCTCGGCGCCCTTGTCACAGAAGACCTTGATCTGGCAGTAGGCGCGGTGGATGGGCTTGTTGCTGCGGTTGTTGTAGCTGTAGGTGTCGATCTGCAGGTTGAGGGGCAGCCCCTTCACTCCCTTCTGGGAGGAGAAGTCTGTGCTGAGGCAGTTCACGGAGATGAAGATCTGAGGAAGCAGGCAACAAGAGAGTTATTCCAATAAAAAGGACTTTCAAAAAAGGAGGCTTTCAATTTGCAGACGCGTAGCAAGTCTGTGGGTCCAATCTCCGAACAGCCCTGTGCTGTCATGATGGATCCAACAGGTTAGATGAAGGCTCCTAGTATAAGAAGATAAAAGCCCTTATTTTCCTTTGCTGTAGACTACATCAGTTCTCCAGGATTTTTCCAGGATTTCTCCAGGATTTTTCACAGCGAGAGGTGCCACTAAAAATGGCTGCCTAAAACCACAGCCTTGAAATGCTACGATGGTCCAAACCTCACAGCAGAACACAGGAAAGCCTCCTCAGAACGCAACTGAGCCGTATCTCCATCTGATTTTATGCCATTTAACTGAGTATGTCCACCTGTAATGGAAGCTCTACCGCTCTGCACGCCTGTGAATATTTTTTACAAAACTCTGAGCAGTGGTTCTCAACCCGGGTCATGAGGGACCTGGTCTCTGGTGTTTTTATACCAAGCGGGCACCTAAAACCGGTGCTGATCGGTGGGTATAATGGACCTGCTTGCTTGCTTGCTTGCTTGCTTAGATGGTTTTCTGCACTCACATTTCAGCCCGCACACCTGAACGAGGGACGTTCTGGAACTGGGTGATTATGAGAGGGTGATGATACCCATTACAAACCTAATTCCGCTTTTTCAGAGCTGAGAGCCTCAGACAGAAAATTGAAATCGATCGGCCTGTGAGTAAGATCTCTGCTGGAGTAAAAAACCAGAGGACACAAGGTCTCCCCGGGGACAGTACTGAGAATCACTGCTGGAGAAGACTTCAGTGTATGTGTTTAATTAGTCTGCTGTCAGTCACCTGGTGTGGCTGTTTTTAAGAAACTTAGAAAACCTGCAGACTCATTGGCCCTCCAAGACTGGAATTTCCCGAAATGGCAAATCAAATCTATTTTTCTGGAAAATCAGATATATTAAACTTCTATATTAAAACACGTCAACATGTTTCAAATGAAACGACGCAATTCTGCCACTACTGTCAGCGATCGGCCTTTTCTGTGGAGCGCCTCGTAAACGCTTCGCCCGGCTGGAAACACTAGATGGCGCTGTTGCAAAGGAAACGCTCCAGCCGAGGGAGCCGCCAGCCCCTACAACATTCAGGAAGTGCGCCGAGAAACTACTGGAGGAACAAACTCGGAGCTCGGCATTTCGTGGTGAGCGTTTCTCACTGGCGTGCTCACGGTCGTGTCTCATGTCTCATGTCGAGCTCCACAGACGGGAGAACGCGTCTGGGTGTTGCTGGGAAAGGGCCGGCCGGAGGTTGCAGTTCTCTCGGGGAATGGAGATAGTAATGGCCCTTCGGAAGCAGCCAGTGGATATGCTGGACATTTGACTGATAGCGAAACCACCACTGAAATCATCTATATTGACTGACAGCTGGTCGGGGGGGGGGGTAGTATCTGGCCTGCTACTATCACAAGACACCATCTAGACTTGCAAAACGCCTTATGTGCCTGTCAGACTGGATTCCATTGTCTACTGTCAAATCTTGTTTTTTTCCCCCACGTTTCCTCATTCTTGTTGGCATTAAGCACATCTCGCCCAAAGGCCATTTTTCATGCATGTGAAGTGAACAATGGGGTGACACAGCCAGAAGGCCTCGGAGCCAGCGCCTTGTAACCAGAGTGAGACGCGCGGGCCCCTAGACGCGCAGCAGCGACAGAGCGGAGGGGCTGCTCCGAACCGGCTGGGGTGCGATATGCCGAGATGCAGGACTGTCCTGGGATTTTTAAAACTGCATTTCTACACAGGATCCGAGATTTCAGTCGTCTTTCCTTCAAAACGCAAACTAGCATGCTATTCTGGCTAACTGTTGTGTGCCCTACAGCCGGGAGAGCAGGCACTTTTTTAAACAATGTGTATTTTTTAGAAATGTGAAAATCCCCTCCTTCAAACTTCCTCATCTCACACTTAGAAATGGCGGCTCCTGACAACCAGCCAAAGGCGCTGGAATCACTGGTTTCCTTGCATGACTGTGGCCTTTGTTCGTCAAATACAATGCTTTTTGGGGATTTTTCATCCAGCCTATAAGAGGAACTCGGATGCAACAATCCTTCACTCACACAAACGTCCTGCTCCTGCTACTCAGAACATAGCTCAATCGCCAAGGAAACGCTAAAAATAGAGTATATCTATATCTAAAATCAGCTTTTCATAAGCTCGCTGCCTTTGCACAGTTACATCCTGTGACTACTGATTTACAGACCATTCGGTCCTTCCCAGCTACATTCCTAAACAGAAATGTCCAACAGGGACATCGATCTGTTGGGTTTTCCAAGTGAGTGACTAAGCAAAGCATCAGGGGAACGGCTTGATCAGAGGACTTCCCTGTTTCCTGTTGAGGCTGTCAGACGTTCTGTGGCACATAAATGAAAGAAAATATATTGCTGAGCCCCTAACAGAACTCCCTTACAATGCGTGAAATATAAAAGTGGCATCCACAGACGAAATGCTTTGAAATGGGTTTGTTTGAAATTGGTGGTAAGAAGACTTAGTTTTTTTCGCTCTTGTAGTTTACTCAAAGACGAGCAGCGATGTGTCTTCAGCACAAGAGCTGCACAGACGCCATGGGGTCTCACAGCACAGCAGGGCTCAGCCAGCCCATTCTCTCACCTTTGCTTCGTCATTGATGTCCCAGGTGAAGGATATAGCGTTGTACGCGATCTCCTCAATGTTGCTGATAGTGTTGAAGCTTTCTTTGTAATCGGCTGCAAAGTCAAGGTCAGAGACATCAGAATTAGCTCAGATGGTTTTGTTGATCCTGATCAACTGATCTAACCCCAAATTTGCCCAGACTTTCTGCTGGGCAAGCTATAAGGTGGAATTTTATAGGAGGAAACAGAAAAACGGAAATGAAACTGAAACATTGACATGACAGTGAAATGTCATTGTTGAAATGATTTTGCAAATGACAGAAAGCCATTTAAACTATCGTGCTTACTGGGCAATTTCATTGCTAAGTGTATCTCAGATTTCAATCCAGTCACATTTTGAAGAAATTCAGAGCTGGAGATCCAACTACCTGACTGGGAAGCCTCTTCGGGATATCAGACACTTCTGTCTTGGAACATTTCTTGTTCTCTGTTCTAAACATTGATTCATAAATAAACCCTAGAACCCATGCCATTCTCCCACAGCCCTTTGGGTAACTCCCCTTTTTCCCGAAGGGCTGCTATCAACAAACTACCTGGCCCTGCTGATACTTCAAGCAGAGGAAACGAGAGGATGGGATCTGAGATTCGATTAAATACCAGCTACCAATCAGGCTAGATGGGCTTCATGGCCTCCTCTCCATGGTAACTGATCTGGTGTTCTTGTACTGCAGTCGCTATGTCTTTCACCTCAACCCATCATAACACACGCCAACCATTTTGTTGGTTGTACAAGCCTTGCATGTTGGGCCTACTCCTGTCTGCTAAGCAACAGGTCCCCCGGCCTGCATCTTCTGGGCCACCCGTACGGGGACAAAAGTCCCTGGAGAGCAGGTGGTTTGTTTGAAAAAGCAGGGGCTGCGTAGTGGCGCGGGAACAGTCGGGACCGCGGGTTCGAACCCCTTACCGATGTCGATGCAGCGCTGTTTCGCCGTGTGCTGCCGGGAGTGCCAGTACTTCCAGTGCTTGAGCTGATCGTCCCTGCACTTCTCCTCCCCGAAGACAACCATCACCACGCTCTGGAAGGCAAGGGAAGAGCGCTGCGTCAGAGGCGAGCTGGGCCGGCCCCTGAACCCCGACCCCCGACCCCCGACCCCCGCGAACACTTGTCGCTTACTGACGTGAGGTTACTACAGCTTGGAAGACGTGACTGACCGTTCTGCTGAAATAATCACACAGGGGGCAATCCGTGCTCTTCAAATCAGGGGGTAAGATAAGCCGGGGGGTAAGTGTTAAGCGTTGGCGCTGCTGCCGTTTGGAAAGCGGCAACATTGGTGTCTGCGGCGACCGCGGTGTGGCGGGGCGCTCGGGTAGTACTGACCCGCACTTTGCTGATGGGGTGGTGCAGCACTTTGCCATTTCCGATCTCTCTCAGCGTGACGGGGTAGAACTGGCCCTTGTTCAGGTAGGTCATGGTGCCGTCCCCGGGCTTCTGGCGGAGAGACTTCGAAGCCTCCAGGGTGTACTCGAAATTATTCCTGTCAGAAGAGAAAGCGACGTCGTAGCTGTAGGGTTGCGTTCTGGCGATTTAAAGGGGGGAAAAAAACACCACGTTCTCCTCCCCTCCAGAGCAGCTGACGGGCACCTCAGCGGCGCGTATCGTGGCGCAGGCCCGACTGAAGCCGGGCGACTGCGCGTTCAAGGACCCCTGGCCGCGGGTTCGAAAGTCTGAGGAGGTGAGGGGAAACTCTGTGTTTTCCCCGCAGCCCAGGCAGTGGCGGGAGACATCCCAGGCGGAGCCTTGCCCTGGCTGAGTGGGGAAAAGACTTGCCCTGTCTGTTTCCCGGTGTCATCCATGTTTCCTGCTCTCCCCTCCCCCGGCTCCTGCACGGCAGCGAGCGGATCGAGGCCCGGGAAACCGGAGGCTGGCTTACCCTGAAACTGCATCAAACGCGTAGTCCTCCGGAGAAATGGACGCCATCCTTAGCTGCAGGTCCCCTGGGAAAGCAAACACCTGCGGCAGACAACAGGGGAAAGGCCGGATGTAAACAAACATTCCCAACGCACGGGGTCTCCCACATTCCATACTCCCACAGCCCATCGGGTGAAATCCAATTCAAGAAGGGGGTGGCGATCGTACGGGACAAACTGTCGATAACTCTGGTTTCTTTCAGCTGAAGAAACAAGTGGATGGGATCCTGGGAAACAAGGAAAGCTCAGAGAACAGAAGGGAAAGCATTCCTCCTCTCTGGAGACGGCTTTCATGTGTTATGTCTTTGGACAATACCCTCTGGGCCATAATAAAAGACCGGCGTCATACTTTATTGCATTCATCAGGCAGCTGGTTTTTGTCTCGCTGTAAAAAGAGGGAGCGAGTGAATCCAGGTTATCCCTGCAATTGTCCTGCATGTTTGCATTTTTTTAGAATTAAATAAAAATGTCATTGAATGGATCTGGCAGCTCCGGGATTCTCACCGGGACTGGAAATCTAGCAGCATGGAAAGTGCAAATTCTGAACATGTAAACATAGGATTTAGAAATAAATATGACACCGAAATGCTTTATGTGAAGCAAAAGGGCAGGCCCCATTTTTTGCTGCCTTCCCACACACTACTGTAGGTACGAGAATGCAAAAAAATATTTCTTTCGTTGAGAATCACAGGATAGGAATTACTGGAATGTTTTCTAATAATCTGCGATACAAAAGCAGAGGACGTACATGTGGCACCCATTTCTGCATGTGACACGAGCCTTTACACTACAACACAGTGGAGTGGAGCAGAAGAGCCCTGACGCTCAAGGAAGGGTGTAGAGACAACACCACACTGAGGCGTGTCTGCTGTCGCGGCTCAGAGTCTCTGTCTGGAAACAGAGCCCGGAGTCGTGGCGGGGGAGACCGAGGGCGGCCACGCTGTTACCTCTTGGGGGTTATCCTTGAAGGTCTCGGTGAAAGTGGAGTCTGGGGTCCGGGACTGGGTGTTGGGGCTGAACTGGTCCGGGTTGAGCTGGCGGTCGAAGACTACTATGCGGCTGTCCGGCTCGGCGCAGTGGTTGGCCTGCGGGAGGCCCACGGAGAAACCGTGGGAGGGCACCTCGGTCTTCACGGGGTAGTTGGGGACGGTGGCGATGGACACGGTCACTGTGGTATCCGGTGTGGAGAACTGGCCTCTTTTGTCATGGCCCAGCTGGTTTCCAGGGAGAACAATGTTGAAGGGCACTGTCTTGAGGACCTGCACCCTGTTCTCGGCCATTGGCATCACGGGCTCTTGCAAGGGAGCCATCAGGTTCCTGGGAGGAGAACAAGACCTGTCCGTGTTCACAAAATCTCCCTCACAGCCCTGCAAGCCCCAGGCCTCTCCGATTCCCAGAAAACGAGGAGCCACTCATCAGTGGCAGAGTTTGCCCAGGAGAGCCCACTTTCCAACATTACTTTTTCTACAGCAATCAGGTGAGACAAACCACTGATGACTTTGTACGATACTGACACACAAGAAGTAAACATGATTTCTTTACTTTGTCTGGCTGCTGCTGCTCTGTTCAAACAAGGTACAGAGAAACACTCCTACCTCACAATTCAACAAGTCTCAGTTTGCATAATGTGACATTTTTCTGTGTTCACATTGTGCTGTATAGGAACACCTGTGTGACACAGTGTAGAGTCTATTCAGGGCCACAATGAGGGAAATATCCAGTATACCAGTTTTAAGCAAATATTCCCTTTAGTGAAATCACAAAAAGTACAGCTCTACTAAATGCACTTTAATGGGATGATGGGTAGAAACAGCTATATGACCGTACCTTTTGTTGGGATCAGTGTCGGCTGCAATGACATCTTGCTTGGCTGGTGAAATCGTTCTCTTTTCTCGAGGCACCTAGGAAGCATGTCAAACACCCAGTTACAAAACTGCCCTGAATTTCGGCTCATCCACTCCACCATCTCCTGCACGCACCAGTCATTTTGCACGCCTAAACGTTCAGCGTGCGACAGTTTACAAAACACTGAGGGGGCATCACAGAGCACATACTTCCAGCTCTGGACACTGGCTGTGGGATAAACTCCCAGCTGGGATTCTGCTGTTGTGGTCTTTCACCCAGCTTGCTCCAGTAAATGCCCTGTCGTACAAACAGGCCTCCACGTCATCACTGCACATGAGACTCTGTTCTCAGCTGAGTTTAAAAGACCATTGAAGATACCTGCCATCTTACACCTGCAGGAATTCGCGTATGATCCTGCAGGATCACGTCTGAAAAGGCCTAAAGAGCAAATGTTCAGCCGTACCAGATATTAAAACAGGTCCACGTAAAGGTATATTCCATGCTGAACGGAAAAACATATTTTCCTTTCAGCCTGGAATAAACCTTTACCTGTCCCTTGGCAGCCTGTGCATGCTGACGCAGCCAATTGTGTAATTTATTGTATCCTAATTTGTTTTCTTTTCGTTAATCTAATCGCTATAAATTCCTGTCCTACTCTTCCATCCCTCTTAACGAGCTCGCGGATAAAGCATTTCATTGCCCACAACACCGCTGTATGCTGTACTGTTCGTGCATTGATAAATAAACCCTGATTGATTGATTGATTGAACTTCTTTATAAAAACAGGAAGCCGTGTTCAGCTCTGGACACCAAAGAACACACCTGTTGTGTTTCTGGTCATTTCTTTTCTGACTTGTTTTCCAGACCTAAAAGTCCTGTATATTCGGGCTGGGACACCCTGATACCTTGTAGTAGTCGTAGAGCAGCCCGAGAGCCGCCGCGCTGTCCTCGTCCCCGTTGATGCTCATCATAGCCTTGGTGGCAGCAGTCAGGGGGTTCTCCAGGAAGGACTTCCAGGCCTCGTCCTCGCTGGTGAAGGGGCGCCTCTGGCTGTACGTAGGGTCATTCTGCAGCACCAGCACCGCCCTCTTGCTGTGGGTGGCAAAAGAGCCGGGGTGAGACGGGAAACACCCAAGCGTGGTTTGGGACGAGCCAGCCTACGGCTGTATTTCATTAAGGACCCTAAAATATGAAGACCAGGAGGCACGTCTTTCTGCAAAGAGTTGTGGGGGTGTGGAACAAGCTGTGCCGCTATGTTGCTGAAGGTGATGCCCAGGATCCGTTCAAGAAACAGCTGTGTGGAATCAATTAACGGCTTACTAACAAACAGGCCTGATAGGATGAAAAACCTCCTGTGGCCTTCACATCTTGTGTTCCTAAAGTTCTGAATTTCATTCAGATAAAGCTCTGAATGCACCAGCTACCCACAGGCCCAAAAGGAAAGGCACCGCCAATGCCGGGAAGGCCTCATGTGCACTGCGGGCCCTGGTTGGAGTTCTGGAGCCTGTGTTTCCGTGTCTGTGAAACCCAACCGACCTGCCAGGCCTGTCACCGAGAGCACAACAGGAAGTGGAGGGATCCAAACCAAACACAGATCGGCATCTTGTTTTGGAACAATGGGCACGGCGCCTCAGTGCATCTCAAAGGATCTGCAGGGGCCAGACCGAGTAAGAAATCACTGCACTGGCTGAGGTGTGCAATCCGTGTGGGTGTGATACCTGCTCTTCCAGTCAGATCTGTCCTGGGGCACATTTCATGCGAGGCAACCCTCATCGACCATGTGGCATCTTTTCTCGCTAAACTTGTCCCGCTTGGGGACGAAGCAGAGCGGTAAACCACTAAATTGTGGCAATAGGCATTGCAGGGGTGTAATAACACCTGTCACAGAACAAATTATTTTCTACACCCACTTAACCGAGCCTACAACCGACGACATTCTTTCGGGAAACAAGTCATACCTGCAGACACACAAAGTCAAAGATTTGGGACAGTCTTTACATTCTTTAGCAGAATGATTCTCAAAGCTGTTCTGCTCTATTACAAGGAAACGCAGTGGATTTTCCAAGTCTATAATTACATTATTAGAATTTAAAAATGAACCATAATTGCTCTTTTCTGTTCTCCCACCATTTCTTCCCATGTTGTTCTTTTAAACTGAATATTTAAGGCTTGATAAAACAGTTTTTCTTCTCCTCTACACCCAAAAACCCAAAAGGCTTTTTTACTGAAGAAATGGCTATCTTAAATGTTCAAAGAAACAGACAAGAAACATTCTCAAATTTCCTTTGATTTTTTTTCCTTTGATTATTTTTATATAAGACGACAATGCCTTAGATATCTTCAGCTGCCCCCTCTACTGGACCTATTCAACCTTGGCCACTTGCGGAAAAGGAATTCCGATACTGTATGTGCTTGAAGGGGCAGTTTGATTTGCTTTTCACTTATGTGCTTCTTGATATGTGTGAAGGTTTAGCACAGAGATGGTGAATGCATAGCAAACTCACTTGCATGACTTCATGAACTCATTACCAGTAAGTCGCACATCTTACCTGAGCATCTTGTGCTACAGCAGACGTCCCTCCGCACATATTGTGTAAGGGTGTACAATTCGTCTTATTCAGGGGGTTTGCCAGTTCACAACAGTTGGACATCTTTGCAACTCAGGAACTGGCTTAAATATTGGATTTTCTACTTTATAGTTATTAACTACAGGACACAGATCTCTGGTTGCGCTGGACAGGTATTTAATCTTTATGTTAAAAAAAAAGATTCAGAAAAGGGATTATTTTCTTGACAACTTTTAATTCGACCCCATGACAAATATCTGAAGGAAATTAGACTTCTGTCCATCCAGAACCTCCTAATGAACAGAACATGAAATCTGTTCATGCTCCCTCTGTTTATGTTTAACCGTAACACTATAATTTGCCATACATACAGGCCTATAAGTGATTCTTGATAAATCGTATATAGAATTCTAGAATTACATCATATCAGACTTATAATACTATATATTAAATAATTGCATATTTAAGAATATAATTCTTTATAGATACAACGTTGTTTTATTGTGTTTTTTCCCCAGACACCTATGGACAGAAAAGAGGTTATAATGCTACGTCAACTGATTCATCAGTGGAGTGTGGCCATGTTGGGATTCGATTGGTGCATTCAGAACACAACTAACTCATCCTAAATTGGGCTGGAAATTTAGTAAAAGGGGAAGTCATTTGACAAAACTTTTTTCCCCCCCAGGCAAAGACTGAAGTAAATGCTTGTGACGCTTTACCAAACTGTTTAATTATCACGCTGGCCTCAGAAAGCTCTGTGATGCTGACAAAGCCATTCTTGTCCTGTATGGCCATCCGTATTGCATCGAATGTGACATAAACGTTCTCATGCCGACCTGTTTGTATTGTGACAGTCATGTTTAAAGATTCCCTGTTTTACCCGAGGAGAAAGCAGTATGAAGAGCTGTTTTGTTTTACGCTTTTCTTCATCAGGTGACCAGTGTGAAAAACAACACTACCGAGATTAATTCCAGAGGAGGGTCAGTGCCTATTGAGAACCACTGGCAGGTGAAACCTGGCTGCCTTCTTACTCCTCACAGTCCTGGTGCTTATTACCTAGGGATTATACTGAGGTATGCAGCCAATGGCAGGGGGATTATAAAGCAAACAGAAAGAGCAATTTTCTGGCATTACTGCAGTGTTTGCCCTGATGCCTTAAGGTTCACTTCAGCCTATTAGCTGTTGTTAACAGGTGTAAGGGGCCTGGCATGGAGACAAAGTGCTAGCATGAACTGATCTGGCTTATGAAAATATAGGCAAATGTGTGTAAAAAAAAAACACTTAAAAAAGCATCCTTTATATTCACTTCATTGGATCATTGGAGACATTTTACCGTTTTTGTTTCTGTTCCTGGAATTGACTCGGGCAGTTCAATTTCGGAAGACATCAATCGTAACCAGACCTTAATTTTATTAGCAAACACGAATCTGACAGTCTGCACGCAAGAATAAATGACACAGCATTCTCACACAAGAGCATTATCGATGCTCGCCAGCGCTGATTATGACAGTTACAGAGTAACAGGTCACAAAATCTCCAATAAAAAACACTGCTCTGTAATATTTAATAGGCGATGGTTATTTGTAGTGTGCTAAGGCTTCATTAAATCATGCAGAACGCCACTATGATTAGCACAAGCTAGCAGGACCGAAATTCAAATGGTAACATAATGGAAATCATTTATTTAAATTACGCTTTTAGCTAAGGCGAATTCTATTTTAAAAAATCAACTGAAAAAGCCTTTAGTTTACCCCCGAAATTTCATCGTCATCTCATAATACGCAAACTCAATTTTCAAAACAAATAAGCTGCGGAAGCAATTTTTTTTAACATAAAAGTGCGGTTAGGTCCTTTTTTTAACTCTGTATTACTTTTGCATTTTTTTTTTGGAAATCGCGATAAGATCATTTAGACTTCAAGAGTTCTCTAGTTTAAACTTGTTTCAACAATTCGTTTATTTTATAATTCAGTAATACCAGTAATATTGTATATTTTCGAGATGTAAACTGATACATCAACTGATTTGCAGTATTTAAGGAAATTCGATGTTTTGTTTACATCTTCGGCTGTGAAACGGCTTGAGGCAAGTGCATTTGTGCGGGGGGTTATGTTGACGTTTTAGTTGCTAACCAAGCGAGCACGACAGTTCAGTTAGCTGTGAAAGTCAGTACGTTATTAGTAACTCTATATATTTAATTACGAGCTATAGACTGACACGGGCTCTCCAAAGGTACAGTTTACAACACTGCGGATCTGCAACCCGATAGATCTCCGTTATTCAGTGACAATAAACCTTAAGTGGACGTCCAATACCAACGAGAAAGAAAAGACGCGCTCATGCATCGAAAAACAATCCCGAAACTGGGCCACTGTGACATAACGGCTAATCAAAACAAACGCTTTAAAATGAATATATATATATATCTCCGAACCAAATTAATCCATCACGTTTTATTCTCGGGTACCCAGTCTATTGAAGAACAAGTTCATTGAGACCATCGAGTGTGCCTTCTGAGGAGAAAGTGTCACGTAAATACAGATTGCACCTTAAACATTAGAATGAAAAAAATCGCACTGTAAAAGTCCCGACGAACCTGCAGTAATCTACACACTAACCTGTCTGAAACGAATGTGACATTCGTCAGTCATCTTGCATCGCACAAACCTACACAAACCGGAGAAACACTCCAACTCCTAGCTCGTTAAAATGGGCTTTGCGGTTGCTGCTGTCATTTGTTCGAAGATTAAAATAGAAATTTTGGTAACATCATCGAATTTACAAAGACGAATCAAAAACAACACTTGTAATTTCAACAGCACTGTTGTAATTTCACGAATATGCAAGGAAAAGGGGGGAATTCGTTTTTTTAAATCCTTTACGTAGCTAGTCAAGTCTAACGATGTCTGGTTTAAAGAGACGACCCGGGAGGTACCCATACTTGAACACAGGCATCCTAGTTGAACCCACAGCCCTCTCACCATCACTGGTCCAAAGCGAAACTCCGGAGAGTGGGAACAGACCTCGCGTTTTTCTTTAATCTAATGTTTTTAATTGGGTAAAAGCGAACAAGACCGCTGCGCCGAAAACCAACCAAAACAATCGGTAGTTGTTTTTTTCTGATATTGGTGTCATTGAAAGCCCGCAGGTACATTGTTCTCCTGACTAAGAGGTTTTAAAGAAAGTGCGACCAACGCCTTGCAGGTGTACTGTTTCACTCCAGCCTTTAAATTTACAGAAATCGCTCAAATAAATACATTTTGCCCGTTCTATTTATGTATCTTAACTCATTACTTTATTAACTCATTTCATTACTTTATGTTTGTGGGCACACGCAACATGTAACGCGCACAACAGTGGTCAGCAGGTGTTCAGACTTTTCAACATTTTACAGCGTTCCGCAAACTTAAATACATGGCAATTCTGGACAAAAAAAAACCATGAGTAAGTTTTTAAAACAGTTAGTAAAGCCCCTTTTGAGTTTACAAAACAGTGCCGTGCGATCTGCGATAATCGCGAAATAGGGAAATAATGCTAACTGTTCATATCGTTGCGACCGCAGTTAATAAGTGCTGATCGTCAGCAAAAGCCGCAGATGCGGGACTCAGGAGCGACACAGCACCAAAACAATCTTATGTAAAGATTCAACACGTAACGTGCTTCAACTCGGCTAGCAGGTGCAGATTCACCTGCGAGAAATAACAGGTTCAAACATGACAGGTGAAACTGCATTACGTATCCCTGACACCGCGCTCACACTCATCCGAAACTCCCATCACACGAAATCCTGGATGAAACAGTGCGGCGTTTTTGACAAGTCGAGCAAGAAGAAGCAGACCAAAAAAAAAAAAAAAGACCATGCTCTCTTTCTCTCTCTTTGCGGACAGAAATTAGCGAGGAGAAGAAGTAGAAGAAAAAAGCCCTTCGTTATCATTTCCACCTGCTCGCACAAAAAAAGGCATATTAGTGTAACTATCACCCCCGTAATCCATCCCTGATAAAACGGCAGAAGCGTTCGTCTCTGAAAAAACACACCGGTTCGACTGGACTTCGCATCCACTTCTGAGTGAGATCACTTACTTGTCATGTTCTTGTGTCATCTCGGACGGTCGAACTGGACTTTCTAGTTAGTACGGTAAATCCGATCCGGCCTCTTTATTTGAGAAGTTAATAGGAGACGCAGGATGAGGGCGATGTTAGAAGTGTCCCCAAAGGAACGGGTTTAGTCGGCTTTTCTCGCTTTTTGAGGTTTCCAGAGATTCAGAGGCCGGTTTTACCTGTGATTAGGGTTGGGATTGGGTTACAGCGAGAGGAGAAGGCGGGGTCTATATTACAATAACATTAACTCTACACCTGTGATTGGGTCTAGGCGTGGGCTGGGCCCGAAGCTCTTCAATTGTTATTACGTTTGCATAGGAATGGCCTGGGACGACACCGGGACTATGTGGACACAATTTGTGATTATTTTTTTTACAGTGTCCGCCCTCCCCTGACATGTGGGTGTCTTCTACATTTTGGTGACCGCATAAAAAAAAAAAAACAACTCTTGTTACTCGGAGAATATTAAAAGCACTCGTTTTCTGACCTCGGTGCCCTCCTCCGCCACTGTCTCTATCATGTGCAGCGTATTCTCACAGGGCAGGTGAATTCCACGCTGAAAAACGTAACACATCCATGACCTAAATACACATATCAGACACCGACATTACTTAAAAATCCCATTTCATAAGTTTGAGTGTGAGCTTTTCAAATTGTACAAAGATTTGAGGTGGTTGCAGTCTGCCAGGTTAGATTGAAGAAGCCTCCACAGCCGAAACGTTGTGTCTTCCGTTTCCACTGTTCAGCGCGAAATGAACCTTTACGATATTCATATTACACGGCTATTTGTGGTCTGTAATTGAATACGGATTCTTTAACCTTTAAATGTCAGTTTCCACAAGTGTTATTGTTATTCATTGTTTACTTTTCCAGTCATAAAACCAAAATGTTATCCAAAGGTTATCAAGCTATTGTAAGTGAAATATTCCTTGGTATCTAGTCCTCGCAAATCTTACCTAGACTAGAGCACGCGTTATTGGTAACTCTCTAACACCTTGCTCCTCCTTAAGACAAAAAGTGAGCCCATATACAGCCTTGATGCTCAAAGAGGGAATATGCGTTTTTGACTAGACTGGTAAAATATCATATTTGTCCCCAAACAAGAGGACGCAAGTGGAAAAGTACGTTGAAGTGCATTGAGACTAGAGAGCAGGGGACACTTCTTATCTTTACCCAAAGGGTTGTGGGGTTATGAGAAAGTTGCCCGCCATTTCAGCACATTGCTGAAGCCGATACTCTGGCGTTGGGTCAATTAGTTACTATCAAGCGTGATGTGCAGCCCGGCCTCTTCATGCGTGTCACTTTTAATATGTGAACTCATTTTAATAAAAAAGAGTCTCGAAATCTGTGACCTTATTTCTGCTCAAAGAAGACCAGATGGAAATGCACTGGTTACAGGTTTTAGGGTCGCCCGACGAGCAGGACTGCAGTACCAGACCTTACTAGACCTACTAAAACTGGATACCTTATGGGTGCGTTGTGCGTACTGTACATCGATGTTGTCTTGTGAACTTTCTGGACGGGTACTGTGACCAAGAAATGTTGCTTGAATGGAGATGATTCATCGGCAGGAATTTAAAAATACCACCACCATGCGTACGTTGCAGCGTGCGGTGAGTTTTCGAAGATAATCTATAAAACAATCTTAACGTGTCACCTGCACGCCGTTTTAGAATAGCACACGGTGCGCTTTGCGTGCTTTATATGGTATTATAAAATAACCAAAAAATGTCCCTGAATTTACCCGTAGTCCACACACACAACTCCATTTCCCGACCTTGTTTCGCGAAAGGGAATAGGGCCTGGGTTCAATCTGAGTGATTATTAAACACACACTCTTTATCCATGTCCGTCTTAGACTTTGATCTGTTTCTAAACGTTTTTTTTATATATGTTTAAAATTCGCTTTATGCAAAACAAGATGATCGGAACCTATGAGATAAATCAAATGCAGGACAGAACCACAATGTATTATCAGATTTGGCAGTGGAGAACTGTGTGAGATGCAAAGGAACAAGAAGGTAATTATTACACGCTGAAGTGTGTGGGAATTAATATCAAATATTGCAAATGTCAAGATACCATGAGGCTACTCTTGAAAACGACATTCCCTATCTCGGAAAGCAGCCTGACTGTACCTTCATTCTCAAGAACACCGTCTCCTTCAAAACAACCCTGATTTAGAATAGATGTTTTGAAACACGACAAGCTTTGGATTCTGCATGTTTGATATTGTTGGAGAAAACTAGCTTTGTTTTCAAATAAAGCATTGTAGGACACATATTTAGTTTTTTTTTTACTTATAAGTTGTGAAATACGAATTTATCCGGTTGAATAATGGGCTCTACCCAACACTGTATTAATAAATGAACCTTTTGAGTGGAAAGCACACTAAATTGTTGATTTTAATTGTACACGGCCAGATTCTCTTCCACGACACACGTGTCGGCGCGCTTTGCTGGGGATGCTGCCGATACCTGTGCAGCTGGGCCTATTCACTCACAGCCCATTCACCTGCGCGTATCGGGCCTGAAGTGTTTCGGCCATCGAAACCCAGGGGACCCCCAGCCGCCTCGCGCTTTCTCCGGGGTCGGCAGCCTCACAGCTGCAGATGAGGCGCGAACGAGGGCATTTCAATTCAAACTATCAGGCGTCTTAAACCACCCCCTCGGGGTAACTGTGGCCATCCCAACCTAAGGGGATAACGAGCTGTATTAGGAGTCGTTTTTACTTTAAACGATGTAATACAATGTATCCCCCCCCCTTCTTCGACACCAAAGACGATCAAGTAAGGTTCTTTCAAGGGAAAAAAAAACACGCTAGTTTTTGAACGTTTGATTCTAGATTTATTGATTTAGCTCTGCCTTCGCGTACTCCGTTTTTACTTTTTAGTCAAAGACAACCTCCACCGTAAACAATCAAAAAATCAAAGGGAGAAACGGTACAGCGGAGGAAGACAAAATTCTCCGTTGATAAAGAAAGAATCGTCGGAAAGAATCGAAAATCGAAAGAATCGAGTTCGCAAAAATATAATTTTCTTTTTAATACTGAAAATATTTAAAACACGTGAAACAAAAAGCCAACATTCTCAGTTTCGTTGTTTAAATAATAAAACTTTTGAGGTTTACAAAGCACAGGCTGCCTAGGTTCTAGTTTGGTTGTATTTTGCACCTACACGCCTGTTAACACCTGCTACTATGGTAGGTGTTTGAATAATAAGACATTTGCATTTATATAGCGCTTTTCATCCCAAAGCGCTTTACATATGGGAGGCGCTGCAGTAACTGCAGTGCGTGACATGCGGCAGCTTTTAAATATGCCGAATTGATATTTGTTTTTTAAACAAGGAGGAAAACCATAATTTAGCATAATCAGACTTAATAATGCACCTAATCACCCCGTTTACTCTGGTGGTTAGATAAAAAGAATAAGCTCTGCTACTAGTTCAGGCGACACCTGAAGAAGGCTCCACGGCCGAAACGTTGTGTTTTTTCTTATCATTTCAGCATGGGATAAATCTATGACTTGTTTCTCTGCAGCCCTGCTATTATTCACCCTGTTCTAAACCGAAGAAATAGAACATTTTAAATACTAACACAACCCATTTGACCTTCAACACAAGCAGTGTATAATACACGCAACAATAAAAATAATGCTGGAGAGGGGAAAAAAACGTTTAACCTTTTGGTTCTATATAGCCAGCGATTAAATTGTAATTGGCATTGTAACGCATTGTTTCGTGTCCACAATAAGACCAGAGTAGACCTCAATGGATACCGTATAACGACCACAAATGTGTTAATTAAACGGTATTGTAATGTGCTCAAGATCGCACGTTCAGATGTTCTCGCTGGGAAACCGCTTTCAATTTAATGCTTTCCACAATTTCAGAAGAAGACGGAGGCAAAAGTGTATTTTAGACGGCACAGGACGTTGTGGACGTCTTCTTCTTCAATGCAATGCAATTCTTCAATTCAATGCAAACTCTCGCCAGCTATGGTGTGCAAAGGTCCCACTGCGGTGATCAAAATAGTATGTCATGACCTACAGAAAAGCAGAAGTCTACCTACTGCCGTTTTGGACCCACGTTAAGATACAAGATAATAAATCGGGCAGAGCAGTGGCTCTGTGGCTCAGGATCTGTGCCTGTGCCTGGAAGGTTGCCGGCTCAAATCCTGCGGCTAGCAGGGGAATCCTACTCTGTTAGGCCCCTGAGCAAGGCCCTTCACCCCAACTGCTCCAGGGGCACCGTATAAATGGCTGACCCTGTGCTCTGACCCCCTGCTTTTCTCTGTCTCATGGAGTGCAAGTTGGGGCATGGGAAAAGATGAATTCCTAATACAAATTGTATAGGGCTAATAAAGTGATCTTATCTTAAAAACAATCCAACAGGATGGGCTTGCCTTTCTCACATTTTTTTTACAGATTAGGACAATAGGTTCTGGGTCTTTAAACTCTGGGATAAAATAGGTTTAGCCGTAATTATAAAAAAATCTATAGTTTTGGTAGAGCAGAGTTAATGGTAATCTCTCCTCAGTTATAGTGAAATAGGTTTTAGCAGACAGGCTAGATGGGCCAGCAGTCTTCTTTTATTGATAACATTTCTTCTGTTCTCCAACAATGCACCACGGCCTTTTCCACATTTCGTCTTCGGCTAGGTTCATTTCAAACGGGACCTTGTTAGGAATCAGAAATCCTAGTCTGGGTTCTTCTCAACACAGTTGTAAAAGATTCGACTTTTCTTTCAATATTTAATAATTACAATGAAATAAATTGACAGATTTAACACCCCCCTCAATTAAATCAAACTAGGCCCTTACTGAACCGACAGTCTGCGCTTGGCTCAATAGACACGAACACGACCGGTGGTTTCTAACGGTCCCAAACAGGTCTGGCAAACAGAAGCCTTTTTGTGAGACTGACTAGCAAGACGGCATTAGTCCAGCTACCAATTCTGCAGTAGCCTCGGGTTTCAGTAGGGGCAGTCACAACCCTGGCCTTTGCTACTACAAGCCCTCTCTTCTGGTAGTGCCCTGGGCGCAGCCCAACTGGGACAGTGCCTTCCAGAGGTCTACAGCCACATCCCCCGAGCAGAAAGAGGATCTCACTGAACGATGGTGTTATGATGGATAATGAAATCCCTTATGGGTTTCTGAAACCGT